GCCCTCGGACTCCTCTCCTATCCTCTTAACGTTTCATACTTGAGTCTGGTGTTTGGGTGGGCAGGAAACTGTCAGCAGGGCCAAAACATGAGCAGATACCTTGCCCAGCTTGGATGCCCTCTTTCGGGCCCCTTTTAGGCAGCATTCATCAGGGCAGTAGGTACAGTCCCTTGCGTCTCGCTGACAAGCCTCTACCTGCCAGCAACCACAGCCATTACAACAGCTCAGATGCTGGCTTGGCAGGGAGAGGGGAAGCAGCTGGCTGTTCTTCTAGTTCCTGAGCCTGGTTCTCAGCAGCAGCAGCTGGGGGAGGGGAGTTAGTGAGGGAAGAGGCTGATCAAGCCTTACCCATCTCTGTCTGCTCATCAAGGAGGAGCTGGGGAGACCTCAGAATTCCAGCCCCCTTCTGCTCCTCATGGACCCTCCCCTCAGCACCTGTGGCGTGAGGGAAAGGGAGATAGAGCTGACCAAAATGCATGTAATCCTCTGGGCCAGCCTCTGCGCACAGATACACAGCTGGGTTGTTTATCTAAGGTTGGGAAGGAAGAGGCTCAGAAACTAGGAAGAGGGTAGCAGGCCTATGCTCAAATGTTTCTTGTCCAGCTTTCTACCTGTTTTGGGATATCTGGATCTCCATATTCCCTCTTGCTTTTCTTTGGCTCTTTGGAGAGTCTTAGTGGCCAAATTGGAGTAAACTGGGGTGTGTGTGATGTAGGTATGGGTAGGTTAGTGGGACGTAATTGGGAAGGGTCAGGAAAGGGATTAAAATTAGTACCTGACCCAGGCTGTAATGAGAGTGATGGTAAAGGTGGGCAAATGCTCAAGTATATTCAGTAGAGAGTAATGGATTTAAGGTCACAGGCTTTTGTCCTGAGTTCATATATACTGGCCTATGTCATTTAGCACCTTTGTGACTTTCAGCAAGATTTTAACCTCTAAACCATGTTTTCCTGAAGGATTGTTGTATTAAATAAAGTAATCTATATTTCATTTCATATAAACGTAAGTGTCCATATGCCTGACACATAAATGTTAACTGTTAAGGTTACATTAGTGAACGGGTGATGGTGAATTTGATAGCCCAGCTTTGTAAGGGCAGAATGTGAGGCCCATGGTGGTGCTTCATCTGTCACCTGAGATCGGGGTGTCTGTCTCCTGGCACAAATGTGACACCTGTTGCAGGAGAAACAGGTCCTGGCAGCTGGTACTCTGGGAGGAGAGGTCTGACCAGGAGCAGGAGGAGTTCACTTACTAGAAGGCAAGTGACAAATGTTAATAGTTAAATCAGCACATCCTTTAGCTCCATGGTCCCCCAAGGGCCTGAGTAATGCCTGGGTATCCAATGGCTGGGTTAATACAAAGGAAAAGGCAGGGGAAAAGGAAATACCAAATGCCCAGCCCAGTGCTTCACGCTCAGTATGCACTTGGTGAGTATTAAGTGTGTGTGTGTGTGTGTGTGTGTGTGTGCGCATGTGTGTATGAAGTGTGTGGGGAGATGGATGTAGGATGGAGGTCAGAAAGCAGATCCCATGAAACACAGGAAGTATGACCTTGCTCTACTGCTGAGTTACTGCTGGGCCACACAGTCTGCTCAATTCTCTGGCCAGTGAGCACAGAGAGGAGAGTGAGAGAGCTACTGGCCACTTGCAGTTCAGAGAGTTGTAAACAGGTTGGAACTCACAGCTTTCAACTTCCAAGTCCAACACCCCTAAGTCAAAAGTTGTTAGAGGAAGGGAATGCTTACTGAGTACTTACTGAATGCTTACTGTATGTGATGGACACCACACTTGGTCTGACATGCATAATTTAGTCACCATAGTGGTCCTACAGGCTGGTGTTTTTATCCCCACCGTCCAGATGAAGAAGCCAAGGTCTAAATGGTGGGTGTATAGTTTGACCTTTCTGACTCCAAAGCCTTGCTTGTCTTTCTACTATATTGAGAAGTTCTCACATGGAATTTAATACTCTGTCAATTACCAAAGGCTGGGTCGTTGACTTTCCGAATATTTCAAAGCCATCCAGACTCACCTGTGACCTTGAGCTGCCTCAAGCATTAAGGGTTTGGCAGGAGGGTAAGAGGGGCAGGACATTGTCAGGTTTAAAGTCACTGATCCCCATTCCCCCACAGTGGGATTGTCCTTGTTCACTGAGAGAGCCACCTTTTACCTTCATTTAAAGAGAAATAGAGCTGGACAGTAACTAAAGGTGATAACGACAGATTTTGTTTAGTACTATCACAGAACAGGAGAGAGACTTCAATATAGAACTGTGCTCAACTCTGAATATGGCAAAGATGACTAGGGATTAACAGTCAAGAAGCAGAGTAAATGGCTCAATGCATGAAAAATTCCTAAGAGGAGACATCGAGGGTATGGAGAGTCTTGCTAACAAGATTTAATAGGATTCCTTCCAAACACTGGGCTAGGCAGGCCAGGTTCAGGGCCCAAGGATGGTCTACAAGAGGGCTTAGAGGAGGCTGTCTATGGTTTGATCAAGGAGACAGTCTTTGTCAGTCCCCAACAAATGCCAGGAAAAGACACGCTGAAGGCCCACAGTGGTAGTTCACTGGCCTTGGAGTAAGTTGTCTCACTTTTGGTATGGATTTCAGAGTAAAAAAAAATTTGATTGGAATTAAAAGCTAGTTATGAGAAAGAATGTGCATTTGAGATGTACTGTGACTTGCATTGATAAGGCAAATAACATTTTTATTATTATTTCCTCACAACTTTGTCTGAAGTAGATTGTTTTTATTCATAAGTGCAAAGTCAAGGAAGAGGTGGCCTAGTTATTCAGAGGCAAAAGCAAACAGGGCCTGCCCTCCCCTTCCCACAGTGTGACTTATTTTTCCCCCAGTCACCTGAGTCCCCAAACACTAGCAAGCAGCTGCTTGGACTTGGGAAGGGATATGGAGCTCTTACATTAGATGTGGCTGAGTTGGGATCAGCAGGTAAACAAATGGCTTTCCCCTGAGCTTATCCAGAAATGTAGGTGTGGGTCTGGGAGCATTTGTCCTCTTTCTGCCTCACTCCCGTACCCTCACCTCACTTCACTGGCCCTGAGTGCTGCTTCTCCAAAATACTCACCTTCATGAACTAATCTGATTGTTGTTCCTGACTGCCAGTTGGCCAGCCATGGAAACAGGAGTAACCTTGATGGCAGAGGGATACACCTGCGGAAGTCCCTATAAACATGACACGAGCCAAGGTTTAATGTCTGTGTAGAAACCCAAAGGCACAGATCTGTAGCTGAGGCCTCTGCCCCCAGGGCTCCTCCAAGTCTGTGCCAAAAAGTGTCCATGGGAGGAGATGTAGGTGGAATGAGAAAACACTGGCTTGTGAGACAGAGAGGCTCTCTGTTCTGATCCTGGTTTTGAAACAACTAAAAGTCACAATTTAAACTCTGTGACTTTAAACTCTGAGCTTCTCTTTCGCCAGCTATAGAATGGGAGTAATCAGACCTGACCTATCTCGTAGATTCTTATGTCTTGAGTGAGATCAGGCCTATGAAGGTGCTTAGTACACACTAAAGGACTGCACAAAACTGCATAAGAAAAGTACCCCCACGCCCCTGAGTCAGTCCCCTCTTAGAGTCAGTTACATAAACATTTATGCAAAAATTGCTGTCCACCCTCTGTGTGCCCATATTGGTGAGTTGTGCTCTTTCCTCTGTCTGGTCAGCTGTCTGTGTCTCTCCTGGCACCTGCAGAAGGTTTCTGTGATACTTCTGCTTTCAGCCAGCTATTGGTTCCCAGGGACTGGAGATGTTAGTCTAACTCCTGTACACGGTGCCCGCTGTAGTATCATGGGAGCATCTGGATGGAGCTGTTGGATGGAGGCAGAGCAACAGCTCACTGAAAATCCATCTGAACACTTGGGTTCTAGTCTTACCCTTGTCACTGTTTGCTGGGTGGGCCTAGATAAGGCATTTGACCAGCCAGGGTCCCATTTCTCTCATCTGAAATGACTGTGTGTTCTTGAAAGCCCCTTCCAGCCCTGGCTACTGTGTGTGAGTCTGGTCATGGCTAACAGTGGTTTGAACACATTGCCCCACGTGTTCAAAGTCCAACAGCCATGCCTACGCTGTCCCCTGACACGTAGTCAGCAGGCTTTGACGCCCCAGTGAATAAAGAGCGACCACTGAATTTTGATTCCCTTTCCACCCTCACCGGTCTGAGCTCAGCTCCTTGCCTCTTTGCTTGGTTGTGAGTGTATTCATGCACCCCAGCAGTTTCCTGTACCCCCTCATGATGTAATGATGTAATGATGTAATGATGTAGTATGATGTAGTACTTTCATCATAGTTTGGCTTTTAGCCTTCCGAGATGTGTGCAGGCCAACCAGTTTCAGAGCTGGCGGGGTGCAGGCACCAGTATTACATACCTCTAGATCAACCCAGGAGTATCTAGGCCTCAAATGTTATTGATTTGTTTGGCACACACGAAGTTCCAGGCCCACCGTTTCCTGCCTCTCTCAGCTCTGGTTCTATTAGCAACCCAGCGATTAATGTGCAGTGGGAGGGGGCAGAGGGCTCCCCAACTAGACAGCACACTGTTTCCCTGGGCTCAAAGGAGAGGCGCTGAGCTGGAAAGGGAACTTGTGCAGGGGAGAACTTAGTCCCACTGCCCGTCACAACCATTTTCCCACAGCAGCCTCTGGGAGAAACTGCTTCTAACTGCAACTAGGGAAGAATCATCTTGGTGGGGAGAATCAGTCCAGTGGGAGGACGGTGCTCCATTTTCACCTGGCCTGGCTCCTTCTCTCATGAGTGGAAGACAACATTCTACTGGATATAAGCTCATTTCCTCTCTGCTCAGTAGACCTTGACCATGGTTATAACTATTTCCCAACACCACCAGTCACTTCATGTCCACCATTTGGAGAGGGGTAAGAATCGGCAGAAGGAAAGATGAGTATTTCTATTATTCCTCCCAAATATTACAGATTTATGAGGTCTTCAGGTGTTGCTGACCTTGTCTCTCTCTTCTTCCTTCACTTTCATAGGGTATGGCAGCTGGAGAGAACTGGCCAAGGCTCTGGCTAGCAGGAACATTCCAGCTGTGGATCCACATCTCCAATTCTACCATCCCCACAGGCTAGGCTCCCAGGTATGTGGCAGGGCCAGCCCACTTTCCCTGCCAGTGCGTTAACCTGGGGCCTTGGCCGCCTTACAGACTTGAGGGAAACCTGCTTTTCTATGGTAAGAGAGGCAGAGGAGAAAGTGTCCCTGGGATGGCAGCCTGGCATTAGAGGACTTCCTAGCTGGGTGGGTAGAGATGTACATCCTGTGTTCCTCAAAGCCTTCATAACACAGTGCAAGATGCCCATGTCTGGCCCTCCAGGTATGTGGCCTTCACCCCCAGCAACAACTGAGGGGCTTAGGTGGGACCAGAATGCCCTGCCTCTTGCCAGCATTAACACTGGACTGGTACTTTGGTTATGATCCCAGATCCTTTCATCTAAGGGTCAGAGAGGATGCGATAGACAACCCCCTCTCCATTGCATCCCACAAATAGCTGGGGGACAGATTTCTAGTGGATCATTTTTCCTAGTGTTTTTTTGACCAACGGTCTCTAGTGAGATAGGAGCAGTGGCATGGTGAGGGAGTGGGCGGATGGAGTTCAGGGAAATTGGGATCCAATTTAGCCTGGAGCCCTGAAGTTGAGCCTACAACAGATATGGACCCCCAAGACTGAACCAGGCCAAACTGAACTTGTGGGCTTGCACAGTAGGGGACAGTTGGGATGTCCCCAAGGGGCTCCCATTTGTTAGGACAAATGAGTAACAAATGTGGGTAGAGTCCTGGGGGGATTTAGAGAAAGGGAAGGCAAGGTCCTTGCCCTCGGAAAAGCCTGCTCTAATTAGAAAAAAAAATTGTTTTCCATATGAGAAGTCTGAAAAAACTCAGAAAGTAAAAGAACTCCAGGAGTATACACTGCTGAAACTCAAGGATGTACATATTCCTGAGGGTTATAGTGTGGGTGGTAAATGGAATGTCTACTACATGGAAAAGCTTCCTGGGCTGGGGCCATATCACCTGACCTCTCCTTCCCCAGAGTCACTTCTAAGGGGCCCCAAACCCTGTTCATACCCTAATATTCCCACCAAGTTCATTCTTTACTCTTCTGCCAGGACCAGGATTTTGAGCGTGATGGGAGCAGTAACAGCAGCTATCTGAAGTGGAATAAGGCTGTCCCCTGGCTCTCAGAGGTAAGGGATTCTGCTATCCCTGTTCTTTGAGAGGGTTAAAAAATAGCTTTTACAAATAATTGCAGAAACCACCAAAAGCATTTTTTAAGGTTTCATTTACTTTCAGAGAGAGGGGAAAGGAGAGAGAAAGAGAGGGAGAGAAACATTGGTGTGCAAGAGATACATCCATTGGTTGTCTCTAGCACACCCCCAGCTGGGGACCTGGCCTGCTATGCAGGTGTGTGCCCTGACAGAGCTGGACCAGTGACTTTTCGGTTCACAGGCCCATGCTCAATCCATTGAGCCACACCAGCCAGGGCCAGTCCACCAAAATTTTTTTCCAGTGGTTATTGTTAAATATTTTTACCTAGCTTGAAAAAGAAAAGAAGGGTTCCTGGCTCATTCGATTTTCTTCCTTTAGAGGAGAACTGACATTTTCTGTGGGCCTACTGTGTTTCTGGCTTTGTGTGTCATCTCATATCAATTTATGACCCTGTAAAATAGTATCACTATTGTTAATTTATAGGCAAGAAAAACAAGGCTCGGGGAAGCCATGACTTCCATGTCCATGCCTGTCTAAAAGATATGCTTTCCAAAGTGTCTTTCTTGAACCATTAAGTCCCATAATATATTCCAGGAAGAAAGGAGTCCATTCTCAAATAAAGTTTAAAAGCTATATCCTGCATCCACTTCTTGGAAATACATATTAGCACATGAAAGTTTCTGAGAAGTTCTTCAGTAATCTGTTTAATTTGGTTTAGATCTGCATGTACCAAACTCATGTGCCTCTTGAATTGCTTTTTTCCATGAAACATCTTTCCATGAACATTAAAAGTCTGTGAAACCAGTATTTCAAGAAACATACACCAGGAAACCTCATTTTAGAAAATTTTTATAGGAAGCAGTGAAATGTAAGAATAAAACTTGTCATAATCATCATGATACCCTTTATTTATGTAGGATTCGACAGATTCTTTTTTGGGGGGGGCAAGAAACTGAAGCTCAGGAGGTTAATTAATTCACTCTACATGACCTTGAGGAAATGCTTATGCCGGGACTCCAAAGTACCACAGTGCTTTGGGGTGAACATTTTAAATTTGGGTTTCATATTTTACGACTTGTCCACAACCCCAGCATCCCTTGCTTCCAAAGCCTGTGGACATGGATCACTTTTCTGGGCTGGGTGGTCCCGGCCAGCCCCTTGTCTTCATCTATACCCATCATGAATGCATCTCTTCAGCCTGGGCCATTTGATTTCCAAGCTACCCATTTGCTGTGGGGTGGGAATGAAGGAGGCAGTACCATGCTACATGTGACAACAGGGTTAGTTTATTCACCCCATGCAACTGCCTCTGTTTAAAGCCCTGAGAAAGGATGGGCCACAACACTGGCACACCTATACTAGGTGACATCATCAGATAATTGTGCCCCACCCCACCTGGAGAGAGCATTTTGAAGAAAGGTACCTCAAAGACCATTGGCCCAGCGATGCGGCCTTCTCTCCTTGGAGCGTAGTTCAGGTCTTTTGTTTCTGACTCATCATTCCATGCGTTTAGTGACTGTTGTGTTTCTTCTCTTTGGGCTGCATATTTATGTCTCTTGCCCATTTTTCACTGGGTTATTTTCTGTCCATAAATTAGCAATATAAGTTCATAAATTACATAAAATGTTTATAAATTAGTCATATAAACTATTTGTCACATGCTATAAATATTTTTACAGTTTGTTTATGGTGACTGAATCATTTTTCTTTTTTTTGGATCATTTTTCTTGATGAACCAGTTATTTTGAAAGAATGTTAATATATAACATTCTGCATTTATTAATCATTAACTTTCCCCCCTTTTTTTGGCCCATCAAGAATGGAGATATATATAAAATGACAATAGTATATAAATAGCAAATAATGATTAATATAGGATTAACGTGTTAAAGAAATAACTGATCTTTTAGTAAGTGTGTATAGCCTTTTGGTGGTAAATGCCTGATTTTCACTGACTTTGTAAGAATCCCCATTACCATCTATCTCCAGGGAGTCACTAATCTAATCTTATTTTACTCACAAAGGAAATAAGGCCCTGAAAGGTGAAATAGCTAACATAGACAGTCACACAGCCACACAGTGCTCCTAGCTCCCTTATAGCCAGCCTGTCAAAGGGACCTCTCTGTTCTCACTTCCTTATCTGTCTCCTGTCTTTTGACATATAGCTTTGGTGGGGAGAGCTCAGGTTGATTCGTCATGTATTGAACATCTGCTAGCTGTCAGGTAATGAGAGGGGTTAACTCACTCACTCAAGATGGCATAGCCCTGCTCTGCAGGTGAGCAAGGAAGAACATAATAACATAAGACGCCTTCTTTGACTGTCTCCCTTCCCCGGGCTTTGCCAGCGGCTCAGAGTCTCTAAGGACAGAAGTAACCCTCAAAAGCAAAACAGTCTTGAACATTCTCCTTGGGGTATCAGAGAGAGGCCCGTCAGAGCGGATGGCCAGGGCTGTGGGGGCTGGCCTTCATGTGGTAACTGCAGTCAGAAACTTATTCATGTCAACCCAAACTATAAGACACCAATTAGCAAACCCCAGTAATTAAACCTCAATGCCAAATTATTCATTTACCGGTCAATATACAGGTCCTTTGACCAAAACACTGCCTGTTATTCAAGAGGCTGCCTCTGGACCTGACTGGTGTGACTCATTGGGTTGAGCACCATTCCGACAAACCAAAAGGTGGCTGGTTTGATTTCCGGTTAGGCACATGTCTGGGTTGTGGGCCAGGTCCCCTGGTCAGGGATATGCGAGAGGGAACTGATTTTTGGTGAACACAAATCAGATCAATTCAAGTCAGAATTTTCATGGCAGGCTTCACTGAGACAGAGTCTCTTTCATTCTCTCTTTTTTTATCCTCACCTGAGACATGCTTATTGATTTTAGAGAGAAGAAAAGGGAGAGAGACATTGATATGAGAAATAAATATTAATTGGTTGCCTCTTACACACGCCCTGACTGGAACCAAACCTACAACCCAGGCATGTGCCCTAACCAGGAATTGAACCTATGATCTTTTGGTTTACGAGACAATGCTTGAAGTAACTGAGCCATACTGGCCAAAGCTGAGGCAGCATCTCTAATGCAGTAGATTCCTTCTCAGGCTTTCTTTTTGTCTTGGTTATAGTTTTTTAAAATATATTTTATTGATTATGCCATTATAATTCTATTTCCCTCCTTCATTCCCCTCCACCCTGTACACCCCTCCCCCACCATTCCCCCCTTTAGTTTATGACCATGTGTCTCAAGTTCTTTAGATTCTATATTTCCCCTACTATTCTTGCCCTCCCCCTATCTATTTTCTATCTATTGTCTATGCTACTTATTCTCTGTACCTTCTCCCCCCTTCTCCTCCTCCCACTCCCCTGTTGCTAACTCTCCATGTGATCTTCATTTCTATGGTTCCACTCCTGATCTAGCTGTCCTCTTAGTTTGCTTTTGTTTTAGGTGTGGTTGTTAATAACTGTGGGTTTGCTGTTCTTTCACTGTTCATCTTTTTTATCTTCTTTTTCTTAGATAAGTCCCTTTAACATTTCATATAATAAGGGCTTGGTGATGATGAACTCCTTGAATTTGATCTTATCTGAGAAGCACTTTATCTGCCCTTCCATTCTAAATGAAAGCTTTGCTGGATAGAGCAATCTTGGTTGTAGGTCTTTGGATTTCCTGACTTGGAATACCTCTTTCCAGCCCCTTCTTGCCTGGAAGGTCTCTTTTGAGAAATCCGCTCACAGTCTGATGGGAAGTCCTTTGTAAGTGACTGTTCCCTTATCTCTTGCTGCTTGTAGGATTCTCTCCTTCATTTTAATCTTGGCTAATGTAATGATGATGTGCTTTGGTGTGTTCCTTCTTGGGTCCAACTCTCTGGGCTTTCTGGATTTCCTGGAAGTCTATTTCCTTTGCCAGATTGGGGAAATTCTCCTTTATTATTTGTTCAAATAAGTTTTCCACTTGTGGCTGTTCCTCTTCCCCTGCTGGTACCCCTATAATTGTGATGTTGGAACGTTTAAAGATGTCCTGGAGGTTCCTAAGACTCTCCTAATTTTTTTTTGAATTATTGTTTCTTCATCCTTTTCTGTTTGGTCATTTTTTTTCCTCTTTCTGATCCACTCCTTTGATTTGAGTCCCAGTTTCCTTTTCATTACTATTGGTTTCCTGTGCATTTCCATTCATTTCAATTCATTTAGCCTTCATATGTTCCTCTAATTTGTGACTATAATCAACCAGTTCTGTAAGGATCCTGATCACCAGTGTTTTGAACTATGCATCTGAAAGTTTGGCTATTTCTTTATCGCTTAGATTTATCGGCACTGGGGCTCTGAGTTGTTCTTGAGCCATGTTTTGATCTGTTTGTGCTTGTTACGTACGAGGAGGTGTTCACCAGTGTGGGGCCACCCAGGTCACTGGTTTGTGATGCCGTATGTGGGGGCGGGGTCAGAGAGGGACAATGGTGGTCCCCTCTGCCACTTTCTACCACTGGGACCTGCACGGTCTGACTCACCGCTTCGCTCCTTCACTGGTTTATCTGCACTCGAATGTGTACTGTGGTCAGCCCTCAGTGGGTCTGCCCGCCACTCCACACCCGGGATCCGCCTACAGCTGCCAGTGAGCCTGGGTTGCGTACCCGGGTCAGTCCGGTGGATCTTTCCTGCCTGACCCTGCTCTGCTGCTGGCTTTGCCCCTCTTACCGGTTTGGTTGAAGGGTTCGTTGTTGTCAGACTTCCCGTGTAGTTCAATTTTCTGTGGTTTGGCTGCATTTTTGTTGCTAAAACTTTGTTGTTTTTAAACTTGGTTGTGTGAGAAGGCACAGTGCTTCCACCTATGCCTCCATCTTGGCGGAAGTCTTGGTTATAGTTTTTTTGAGATATAACTATATACCATATAATTCACCCATTTAAAAATACTAGTCTACTTTCTGTCTGTTTAGATTGACCATTTCATATAAATGGAATCATACAATATGTGTCCATTTGCACCTGGCTTTTTTTACTGAGCATGATGTGTGTGTGTGTTTGATTTTCATTTATTGAGTTGAGAGAGAAAAACATCCATTTGTTGTTCCACTTATGTATGCTTTCATTGGTTGATTCCGCTATGTGTCCTGACTGGGGATCAAACCCTCAGCCTTGATGTATCAGGACAAAGTTCTAACCAGCTGAACTATCCCAGTAGGGCTCACTGAGCATCATGTTTTCAAGGCTCATCCATGCTGTAGTATATGTCAGTATTTCCATTTCTTTTATTGCTGAATAATATTTTATAATGTGGATGTATCACATTTTATTCACTTATTCCTCAGTAGATGGATATTTAGGTTGTTTCTGCCTTTTGGTTACTACAAATACCGCCACAGTGAACACTTGTGTACAAGATTTTGTGTGCGTCAGACGTTCCTTTTCTCAGGGCCCAGAAACACTGTTATTATGCACGGTGGTTGCCTCAGTGCAATGTAAGGGGCATCTCCATTCATTTACAAATCACCTATTCACATGGGGAATTTTACCCACTAAGATTTCACCAAGTGGGCCTTTGGCCCTTTCCTCAAAATCCAAAGCTACTGCTTATCTTCATGGAATCTGGAACTTCTAATTCCAAGGTGGATCTCCCTCAAAGGACAGGTATGAACAGGGAATCAAGAGTAGCTTGAATATGTAGAAACTCAGGAGTCTGGTATACAGGAACTGGTGACCTCATTGTTCTGCTGTGTTGGGGTCATGTGGCAAGGCCTCATTGACTCATGAGGTGAATCAGCAGCCAGCTGTGCTGCCTGTGTAAGTGTGAATCTGGTCCAGAGCAGGGTGGCACAGTGGAGGGCCAGTGAGTGAGGCTCACATCCTGTGATGGGCTTTTGGGCTCTCCTTGAGGTAGAGCTGACCACCCCTGCCTTCCTGCCCTCTGCATCCCGCACCTCCACATCTCTTTTCATCTTTAACTAGTACAAAGCAGTTACTCAGTGCTCATAAAAAAAATGAAGCAACATAAAGTTCTGGGCTTCTCCAAGCTATTGTTCATTCAAATAATCAAGATACACAGGAACACAGAGGAGGTGAAGGCCTCAGAGAGAAGGATATGAGAAGAGCCTCGAAGAGTGAGCCCTAGTTTGTCAGGTGGGGAGGCAAAGGAAGGGCCTTCCAACCAGGAAATACATAGTATTTGTAAGGCAGGGAGAGGTAAAGGAGTTTGCTGTGGGTGGAGTGTGGGTGTGGGACAGGAAATAGTGTGAGATGTGGCTGGGAAGGTAGGTCAGTCGTGCCAGGGTAAGGTTTAGTTCTGAAGCCTTCTGGGAACCTCTGGAGCAGCAATTCTGAAGGCAGTGTGAAGAATTAGTGGAGAGAAAGAAGCTTCGATCCAGCTGGAGGCTCTGCTGAGGCCTTGCAAACCCGGTGAGGCCTGGCAGAGGCAGTGTCAGGGGGGTGGGAGAAGTGGACCTTCCGCTGTAGGGACTCATTGAGACTGGCCTCACCCACCTCCAAGACACCCTCTCCACTTCTATAAGAATAATTGCTGTGTATCCATAGCGAGTCACTTGATACCTCTCTGGGGATCAATATTCTCACCTCTAAAATGAATGAATTCCAACAGATATTTTCTCCACTACTTGTAACTGGAAGTTCCAAATCCATCATTGGCCATGGACAGTGGAAAGCAGGCGAATGGTGGCGCTGATGAACTGGAGTCCCACATCCCTGCCAGATACAAAATCTCTAAAACTTGGAGGCACACAAATCCTGGTGGGGTCGCCCTTCTGGGCCTGGGGAGGAAGATGGTGCCCAGTAGTCCCTGAGAGACTCCCACCTACAGCCTTATGGTGGGTGAAGCATAGTTTGAGGGCTAGCTTAATGCTGAGTGAGGGCCTAGACCTCCCTGGGGATGGCAGGTCCTCTTTCTGCACTTGCTTCTCCTGGCCTGTGGTTTCCTGCAGCATCGCAGGCAAGGCCAGGAGCAGAGAAGTGGGAGGTGGCCAGCCACACTTTTTCTTCCTTCCCTCCTTTCCCTGCCCAAACCCACCGTGGCCTCTGACCTGGCTGAACACAGCAGACTTTTCTGGTGGTATGCCCTCCCTCTGCAGTTTGTTGTGGATCTGAGCACACTGCCCTGAAAGTCCCAGGAAAGGGTAGTGAGGCCATTGGCAGGAGACAATGAGTCTTGTAAATGGGACTTAAGGAATTTCTCCAGAAGTAGCACAATGTACCCATTCTTTCTTATCAAGAAGCCTTAACCCTCCCCCCACCTACCCAGCCCACATTTTCTCACCCACCCACCCCAGCTCCCCACTCATATTCCCAGGAGTGATAGCTGCTTCCCAAGATCCCACATTCCTAGCATTGGTCAGGCCAGTGTACTCAGGAAGTCCCAAGTTGCTGAAGGTATAGGGAATGACAGGCTCTCTTGGGGCCTTCCTGGGTCTGGCTGTAGCCAGTGTTTCCCCCAGGGGAGGCCTGTGCCCACCCACCAGCCACATCTCAGATCTTTGGCGTTCCCTTGAGTTCTCCTCAACCCCCATGTTCTCTTCTTGCACCATCACCCCATCTAGATCTCTTGCTGGAAACCTCATGTCACTTCCTTCTATCTGTGCTTCCAGTTCGAGGGCCCTTCCTCCTCTGTTTTCCTAAGGGCATCTTAGATTTTGATAACTGATGGCCCGCAAAGGGGAGGGAGGGCAGGATCTGTTTTCATAGAGTAATTGAGGTCCCACCTCCCACAACCTGGAGATTAAGTTCTGGGGGAGGGGACGAGAAAAGGGCTGAGGTGGGGCAATCTGAAACTCGTTGTCAGGATAAATTGGGACGTTATTCCCCTGCTTCCCCTCTCAAACTCCAGGCCTCCACCCACTCAGAGTACTTGCTGCTTGCCTTAGCCCTTTCTTCTGAAGGGGGCCCTCTGTTCCAGGCCTCCCACTCTCTCCTGAGGAGGAGAGAGAGAATACATCCTCCTGTTTCTGCCTTCCCAGCGCTGCCCAGAAGCCCCAGGCACCTGGCTCGATATTCCAGCGAGGCCTGGGCTGAGTGGGGCTTTGAATGCTTGAGAGCAGTGGGAGGCCAGGAGGTGAGGTCTGCAGATGGGCCCCCAGAGACCTCCCGCAGTGCTTTTCCAGCTGCTGCCCCACAAGGGGAGCCCCAAGCTTGAAGACCACTGGGTAGATAAGGTTTCACCAACAGACAGCTGTGGCGCTTTCCTCTTACTAGGCAGTAGGAGAGGGGAGGGAGAGGAGCAAGTCTTCTGCTGAAACCCCCACTTGGCACTTCCTTCCAGTTCCCTCTGTCATCTCTGCCATTCTGTCAAGGCTGTTACTCCCCCTTGCCTGGGGAATGCAAACCAGCCCACTTCCTGCATGGAAAGAGCCAGTGTGTGTGTGTGTGTACATGTGTACGTGTGTGTGCATGCATGGCCAGAAAAACAGACCCAGGCCTCGGCCAGGCCACAGGGATGAAGTTCCTGAAAGAATCCAGAGGCGCCAAGGATGGGAATGACACCGAAGTGGGCCATGACCTTCCACAGTGAGAGAAACTCGGAAGCTGGGGCTGCAGTGGCCTGTACCTCTGTCTCCACCCTGCCTCTCAAGCCTTGGGGCGACGTACAAGTTCAGGGTGCTCACTTTCATTCACCTCTATGTCCATGCAGTTCCGGGGCCGTGCCAACCTGCATGTGTTTGAAGACTGGTGTGGCAGTTCCATCCAGCAGCTCAGGAGGAACCTCCATTTCCCACTGTACCCCCATGTGAGTACTGTGGGCCCTTCTTTCTTCCTCCACACCATCTCCTCCCCCTCTACCCAGTTCTGCCTCTTATCCATGCCTCCCCCACCTTCTGTCGTCCTGATCTTTCCTTTTTTCTGGTTTGCTTTCTTTCTTTTATTTTGTGAGCCCCTGTTTCCTCTCTGCACAGTATCTGCCTTCCTTGTTCTGTTCCCGAGATGCCTTCTGCCATCCTTGCCAGCATTTCAGCTTTAGATTCTCACTGTGGCCATCATATAGTTTACCGGGGGCCACCACATACAGTTGTGCTGGTTGTGCACTGCACAGGATCACCTGGACGAAGCACCCGAGTGGGGGGCGGAAATCTTGCCTATACTCTGTATCAAGCCCATGCCCTGTCTCACTCCCTCCTGTCTTCCCACCAGCCCTATGTGAGCCAGTCTCTTCATTTTCCTATTCCCTCTGCTGGGTAATGGTTTCCCTCACCTTTTCTGGCATAGATCCGTACGACTCTGAGGAAGCTGGCCGTGTCCCCCAAATGGACCAACTATGGCCTCCGAATCTTTGGCTACCTGCACCCCTTCACTGATGGTAAGGCCAGCCCCAGTGTCCCACCCTTCTGCTTTCCTGCTCCAGAGTTCTTTAGGGTATCCAGAGAACATAAGCCTGTAGCTACAAAATAAGTCTGCACTGGGACGCTGTTAATGTGTCCTTGAGGAGAGGGGAGATTGAGTCCAGTGAGGTCCCATCCAGTCCCATCCTCACCCACTCCCCCAGGCTGAATTCATTCCTTGCAAACTAGCGTTGCAAGTCTGAAACTAGCATCACCTCTCTCTCTAGCCTTCCCTTCTTCACAGTATCTCCCTGGATGGAGAAACCTCACTCACTCTACAAGAGGGAAGTCATGCACCAAGCCCCCAAGAGAATTTAATTGCTGCAACACAATACAGTATGGCCCTCAGTCCTGGCTCTGATGTTCTTACTCTCACCTGGACTCTCCCCCACTGCCCAGGGACAATCCAGTTTGCTATTGCTGCAGACGACAATGCGGAATTCTGGCTGAGCGAGGATGACCAGGTCTCAGGCCTTCAGCTGCTGGCCAGTGTGGGCAAGGTAGGGTCAGCTCAGCCCTGGGGCTCTCCCCTCGGTCCCAGGGCATTGAAGGGACCCCAGCCTCCATCACAGACTCTCATCACCACTCCTATCTCTGCTGTGACTGACAGGGAAGAAGGTGGGAACAAGAAGTATCCTCCCTCTCACCCCACCCCATTTTACACAGTTATAAACAGAAGGAGGAAGGAGTCAGGATGAGGCTGGGAATGGACCCCAGGAAGATTCATCTGAGTCCTTAGTGCGGAGCTAAGGACTCAGAGCTGAGGGGACAGAGTGCTAGGGCCTTTTGGGGAGGGTGGAGGTGCTTCTTGCCTGGGTCACTCCATTCCCTCCCTTCTGTCTTCTGTCTCATCATCATTCATCATTTCCTCCCTCTTCTCACTCACCTTTCTCTTCCTTATTCCTTCCTTTTTCTTAACTCACCACCTCCCATCCTTTGTATTTTCTCTTTTCCACCTTCCTTTGCTCTGTTTTCTCATATTTCCAGACTGGAAAAGAGTGGACTGCCCCAGGAGAGTTCGGGAAATTTCAGAGTCAAATTTCCAAGCCATTGAGGTGAGTAGGGAGCATCATGATATTCTTAAGAGCGGTGAAGAAACCCCAACCTCCCGCAGGTGCTGAGGCCAAGTCCAAGTCCAAGTCAAAGAGCCCAGCATGTCCCTGCCACTATCCAGCTGTCCTTATTCCTGAGACTCAGTGTGCTGGGTACCCCTGTATATTAATAAATGAAGTCTTTGACTTAGAAACCATCTGGCTCATCTTTCCTCATTTTGCAGAGGAAGAAACTGAGGCCCACAGGGGGCTGTGACTTAATGAAGGTCAAAGAGCTATTTGGTGACACTCTGGACTGGAAAACAGAAATAGGTCTCCTTGCTCCCAGTCCTTGCCTTTCACATTCTCTTCATACCCCAAAATGTCCACAGCTGTACAGCCTAAACACCTGCTGCCCTGCCTGTGCTGTATAAAAGGACCTAGTCTCAGGGATCCCTTGGTGGCCTGGAGGGAAACAAAGGCCTTTGCCAGGTAATAGTGGCTGGAATCACTTTAACAGCTGGCTGGGAGACTTAGCCCAACCTCAGAGCGCCACCTGGTGGCTAGCATACACACAAGCAGGAACATGCGTTGGCTTGATGCTAATAATATCTGTATTGGTAATAACAACAGTCCAGCTTGCAAAGAGCACTTGCCATGTGCCAGCCTCTGTGGTGTAATGCAGCATAACAGCAAATGCCATGGGCTCTGAAGCAAATCCAAACTCCTGGGTCCAAATCCCAACTCCACTACATATTACCTCGGCCACGTTGGACAAATGACCCCAGATTTCTGTACCTTAGTGTTCCTATCTGCAAGCAAGGATTAAGTGACTTAGTGTATATAAAACACTTAGAACAGGGCCTAGCACAAAGTAACAACTCTTTAGGGGTTAACTATTATAATGTATTTGATTCTCCTCATGGTCCTGTTAATGTTAGTAAGTGGTCAAGTGGGGACTCTGACCTAAGTGGTTAAACAGCAGGATCCTGGGACTCCTGAGAGCAAGGAGACAAGAGTTTGGGTGGTGAGGTCCTGCAGGACTAGGTGGGCACAGTAGAAGAGTGGGAGAAGGGCAACCACAGGGGCCCGGGACGGCCTTGCCTCCCTGCTCTCTCCTCCTGGCAGCCTGTCAGCCTCCCGCAGGTACTACTTTGAGGTGCTGCACAAGCAGAACGACGAGGGCACTGATCACGTGGAAGTCGCGGTGAGTTCCACTGTCAGCTCTTAGTCACTCCTCCTCCCTTGTCCCTTGAACCCCTTTCAAAATCTGTCTGCCTCCAACCTTCCATGTCCACCCTCTTGCCTCTTCCAGTGGCGACGGAATGAGCCTGGAGCCAAGTTCACCATCATTAACTCCCCTTCGTTGTCCCTCTTCACAAGTGAGTACAGGCTCTGAGACGGAGGCAGGACGGTGCCCACACAGGAGGCTCAGCCCACCTCGAGAACCGGGTGAAGGGAAGGGTGGGAGGTGGAGGCTAAAGCTCAAGGTGCATGGGTGTGAAGGGACAGGAACAGAACCTAAGGGGACCCTAAGGTTAGAGGTCTTTAACTCTCAGGGGTCAGAGACCCCTTTGAGAAACTGAGGGAAGCTCTATAAATCCTCTACTCTAAAAAATTCCCTTATGCACCCCTACACAATATTTTGCGTGTGATTCCAAGGACATCCAGGGACTACAAACTATGGGTTATTTGTAAGAAGCTTACTCCAGATGGAAGACCTGAGTGAGGCCAGTCACCTGTTTCACAGATGAGACAGCGCTTGTTCTTTCCAAGCCACGGCAGAGGAGAGGAAACTCCCGGCTGTTTTGACTTTGCAGTAAATGAGCTCTTCCGTTGCACTGTTCATTGCTTATGATTTTCTTGGCAAGACTCTTATCCAGATGTCCCAGCAACTGAAAAGTTGCTGCCTGGCAGGTGGGGCCATGAGGAAGAGCAGACAGGGCTAGAACCTTAAGGGGAGAAGGAAAAGACAGGTGCTTGGAGGGGACTGGGAAGGCTGGGGAAGCGTGTGTGTGTGTGTGTGTGTGTGTGTGTGTGTGTGTGTGTGAGAGACGGGGTGGGATAGAGAGAGAAGGGGAGGCTGGGTTCACAGGAGAAGGTGCACGTGTAGAATAGGCAAGGTGATGGGAGGAGGTTGCCAGTGACCAAAGCAAGAGGCTGACAGTCAAAGCAGAAGGGGTAGTTGCTGGGTTGCTGTGAGAGAAAGAGGGCAGAATTGGAATCCATAAATTCAGTGTGAACCCAGAAGAAAGAGACCCATAGCAAAACTCAGGTAGGAAACTAGTCAAATGGATCAGAGGTAAGTAGCCTTGGGTATACCAGGAGAGCTCTCTTTGGGGCTGAAGACAAATGAACCCAGGAGGAAGAGAGCAGAGAGGCAGGCAACCCTCAGGTGAGGAGCAGGGCTTCAGGGACCACTGTGGGGGAGGGTGCCCTGCTCGCGGTAGGCAGCTCAACCTGTCTGTCCCAGAGGTAGCATAACCTGCAGGCCGAGACTGTGCCTGGGTTCAAACTTTGCCACTTATCAGTTGTGTGATCTTAGGCAAGTGTCTCAGAGTCTCTTTGCCACAGTTCCTTATCTGTAAAATAGGAATGATAATGGTAATGATAATAGTATATAAATCAAGTGGTGGTATGAAGAATAAATGTATTGTTTGTAAGATGGTTAGAACATGCCAGGCTTATTTTGTAGTAAGTGCTATGTGTGTGTTTTAAAGATTTTATTTATTTCTTTTTAGGGGTGGGGGGAAGAGAGGGAGAGAAACATCAATGTGTGGTTGCCTCTCAAGCTCCCATACTAGGGACCTGGCCTGTAACCCAGGTGTGTGCCCTGACTGGGAATCCAACCAGCGACCCTTTGGTTCACAGGCCTGTACTCAGTCCACTGCGCCACACCAGCCAGGGCTATACATGTTTGTTCAATAAATTAAAAATACTTATAATGACAAATTTCCAGCAGGTCACAGTACAGTATTTTGAGGAAGCTGTGTCATTTTACAAGTAACACAAAAACTGTGGTGTATGCTAGTCATGGGGCCAGTGGAGGGGACGAAGGGAGATTATGAACTGAAACTGCAATTCTGGGGGTTTGGGGCCAGAGGGAGAAGGGTCGAGCATGGCCTGTGCTGTCCCTGGGGTACACGGGAGCCTGACCCAGCCTCTGCCCGGCCCCTCAAAGAGGCAGGGCCTGGGCTCTGGGCTCGGTCTGCTCCAGGGCTCATAGTAGCCCTCTGTTCTTTCCTTCCTGGCCCAGATGAGACGTTCCTAAGGATGGACGAGGTGGGCCACATCCCACAGACTGCAGCCAGCCACGCCATCTCCCCAGACTCTCTTCCCACAGAGGAGCAGCCCCTTGCTGACATGCTTCGGCCCGATCCTCGGGACGCCCTCTATCAAGGTGAGGCCTTGGCCGCATACTTGTCACTCACTCTGGGGACAGTACACTGCCAGGGCCATGGTGTGGGTGGAAGAGACACAGGAGACCTGCAGTGCCACCACAGTGCCCCCAAACCTGGAAGACTGTGGTATAAAATATAACATGCATGATGAAAAGTGTAGAAGTACGTATGTACAGCTTTACGTTTTACAGATCATGACAGAACACACGTTTGTGTAACTACCAGCCAGGTCCAGAGAGCAGGAGAGCCCAGAGTTCTTTGAATGGCCCCTGCAACCACAGCTGCCATAGCTTCTTGTCACCCAGGGAGAGAAATATGTTCCCACTGAGGTGTTTGAATCTTTTGACAAAGTCATGTCCTATATCTACCCATGCCCCTGCTTCTAGAAGGAAATTCAGTTATTGCACTGCACTAGGGTGAGGCTCAGCAGCCTCCTGGAAGTCACTGACCTTTATTGAGGCTAGCCCTGGACAGTGTTCCCAACGCTATATTGTGCCTTGAACTACTAGAGATTATGTGAGCCCTCTGTCACCGAGGTGCTGCGTGGATGCCCTGCCCTAGATGAGTGGTGCCAGCCTTGGTCTGGCAGCCTCAGTCAATGGCCATGGACTCTGACCACAGCCGCCTCGAGTGGATACAGAGAAGGGCCTGCTAAGGGCAGAGGGCTTCAGCCTCACCTCTTGGCCAGGAGCCTAGGTGGTTCAAAGCCAGCCCCAGTTTCAGGCTCCCATCCCCACCCTCATTCTTCTTCCCTACCGTCTTCAGTGCCTCTGATCCCCAAGTCTCATCTCCGCCACGTCCTGCCTGACTGTTCCTACAAACCCAGCTACCTTGTGGATGGGCTCCCACTGCAGCGTTACCAGGGCCTCCGGTTTGTAAGTCTGGGGCCCACACAGTGGGGGGCAGGAGAGAGGCTTTGTTGCCTGTGGCTGAGATAGGGGGTTGCTGAAGCTGACTGCCCCCACCTCATCACATCGCATATCAGCAGACAGGAAGGCCTCACAGGCCCCTGGGCTGAGAGAACTAACATTCCAACTTGCTTCTGGCTCAGAGGGAATGTCCTGCAAAGCCTGAGAATTCTTGCCTTAGGAAGCCCCCATACACCAGTTCTGCCACAGTAATGACATTGACGTGAGCTGGGCTAGCGTGAGGCCTTTTACACTTCTGGCTCCATGGGCCACACAGCCGTGGACTGCCTGGGTCAGTCCTGCCAGCCAGGCAGCCAGCAGTATTCATTACACTCATAGACAAGGCACTGGGGACAGGAGCTGTGGAGGGGAATGAAAGAGAATCTCCAGTCCACGTCGAAACTGGAGAAGCAGAATGAATACTGTACCCAGATCAAGAGATGGTTATGAGAGAACGCTGGAGACAGGAATAGAAAAGCCAGGACTCAGAGGATGGCTGGGGTGTCCCTGAGAAGGTTTTGGGTGGAGATCACTTTGAGCTCTATTTAAGGAAGGCAAAAAGGAGTGTAGTAAATAATACAAGGGGTTGTTCCAGAGCGGTGGGAGGCTGCAGATAAAGGTACAGAGGTTGCAGGAGAGGGTAAGATGGCTAGAGGAGGAGGGAGGGGGTCTCTGCGGCTGCCGGGGAGAACAAGCTGGGTCAGGAGAGGAGGGATACACGCATTGCGGAGGGAACTAGATCAGGGTTCCAACAGCTCCAGAGAGGCCATCGAGGAGGCGTAGGGAGTGGGGCGGAATCCTGGTCTCCGTAAGCAGATGCCTCAGTCAGAGCACAGAGCAGCCGCTCTCTCCCCACTAGAGCAGGTCCTGAGGAGCTGGAGGTAGGCTCACCTCTGGTGGGTGGATTTCTTACCAGGATCCCACCCTCTTCCTCCTGCTACTTCTTTCTCTACCTCCAGGTTCATCTGTCCTTCGTTTACCCCAATGACTACACCCGCCTGAGCCACATGGAAACCCATAACAAATGCTTCTACCAGGAAAGCACGTTCTACCAAGACAGGTGAGCAACAATGAGCGAGGCAAGAAGACAGCGCTCTGCCAGAGCCTAGGGGCTGCAGGTGTCCTTCCAGCCTGAGGAGACTTGGCTCTTCCTGGGCACTACCCAGTCTCCATCCTCTGTTCCGGGCTGGAGCATGACTTCCAACTGCTGCTGGGACTTCCAGCAGAATCTCCTGCTTTGTCTTCAGGGCACGAGTGCCATTCTGCCTGTCTCTTCCTCCTACAGGTTCAGCTTTCAGGAATACATCAAGATTGACCAACCTGAGGAACAGGGGCCAGAGCAGCCAGGTACAGAGTGAGAGCTGAGGCTTCTAGGCCAGGCTGGGAGGGGTGACCATGGTTCATTTCTAGAAGTGCAGACCATGCCAGCCCTGGCCGTGAGGAGCTTAAAATTCAAACCACACAGCCCCTTCTCCCTCACCCAAGGGCATGGAGCAGTGCCCCTGGCTTTTCCAAACCAAGGCCCCTGTAGAACATGACCGTTGGTGACAGCATGCGGGTCAGCTGGGGGAGACCCCAGGCCCTGGAGGAGATTACTCGGCTGCTCAGTTGAGAGCATGCTGTCCCTGGCATATCACTTGAGAAGTTCTGCTGAGGCTTCAGAGAAGCACTGTCTTCCTGTGGCCTTTCTTCTTGAGGCCTTAGGGCTTGGCTGGGTCCATTTGTTGGCATCCTCCATGTGCCAGGCACTTGCTAGGCACTCTGTGCTTTATATCATTCCCCTCCACAAAAACCCTGTGGCAGGTAGATTATTAGTCCCTTTGTGTAAGTGGAGAAACCAGGGTTACTGAGGTTGAGTGACTTGCCCCAGGTCACACAGTGAGTGGCAGAGCCCAGATGCCACCCCGTCTGAAACCCTGGAGTGTCACATATAATCTTCAGCTGTCTTGTATCTCCTTGGGGAAAGGTTGAAAACTCTGAATGGCTATTATTAACAACAGGTTTTGAGGAAGGCCTTCTAGAAGAGTCCCAGTACGGAGAGGCAGCAGAGGAGACCCCTGCCTCCAACGACCGGAATGCCAGGAGGCCAGAGGGAAACCAAGTGCCTACCTCTACCCCAGAGCAGGATGTCACTGACAGCCGCCTCCGAAGCCTGCGGAAACTCCTGGCGCGGCCCCAGGAGGGACTGCTGGCCCCCTTTTCCAAACAGAACTCGACAGGTCCCCTCCCAGTGAGGACCAGCAGTGTCCCAGGGCAGCGACCAGAGAAGAGGGAGAGAAAACCTAGCCCTGAGCCCAGCCAGGATCCACCTCACTCTGCCAAGTGGCCCCCTGGATACCTGGTGGGGAACTGGCCTCAAATCAAAAGGCCTGGGCCCACAGGTGATGGCCCCAGGAAGACTCTAGGGCAGTCCCAGTGGCTTAGTCAAGTCGAATCCTACATTGCAAAGCAGAGGACCGGCGACAGGATGGAGCCTCTGGCCCTGAGGAGGGGCCGGCCTGGGGAGGAGGAGGTGGTAGCTGCTGCAGGCCAGGAAGGACAAGTGGAGGGAGAGGAAGAGGGTGAGGAAGAGGAAGAGGATGTGAGTGAGGTGTTTGAATACATGCCCCTGTTTGACCCAGTGGTGAACTGGGACCAGACCTTCAGTGCACGGAACCTTGACTTCCAAGCCCTGCGGAGTGACTGGATTGATCTGAACTGCAACACATCCGGCAACCTGCTGCTGCCGGAGCAGGAGGCTCTGGAGATTGCACGGGTCTTCTTAAAGAAGCTCAACCAGAGGAGCTGGGGGTAAGGTAAAGGGCTCTGCTGGGGCCAGGGCTGAGGCATGTGGCAGCCTGCTGGCCCGGGGAGCAGGGACCTAGGGGCTGCAACGGTTGCCCTGCTGCAGACTCATGAGAAGGACAAATGCCTGGAGCCCCTGCCCCTGGAGGTGACCTGGACCAGTGAGGCCTTTGTCCCACTGTCAGGAAAGGCTCTGCAATGCCTGGGCTCCTGGCCCCAGAGCCCTGGGGAGGTCCAACAAGGGCCGGTCCCCTCTCTCAGGGAGGGAGCTAGTAAAAAGGCAGATCAGGCAAAGCTGAGGCGAAAAGAAACTAATGAGCCCAGATGTGAGCTAAAAGGACTGAGTTGTGGCTGAGTTCATTACTGTTCCATTCATTTAACCAATCAGCATTTTTTTCAATTGAGATCAAATTCACATACCCTTTAATTTACCATTTTATAGTATACAATTCAGTGGCTTTTAAGGTTATTCACAATATTGTGTAACTATTACCGCTATCTGATTCCAGGACTTTTTTTTTTTTTTAATCACTTTTAAAAGGCTCCCTGTAGCTAATAGTGGTTAGTTCCCATTCCTCCTTCCTCCCAGTCCCTGGCGACCACTCCTCTACTTTCTAGCACCATGGATGTACCTGCCGTAGACATTTCATATAAATGGAATTACGTAATATGTGGCCTTTTTGTGTCTGTCTCCTTACACTTAGCAAAACGTTTTTAAGGCACATCCATGTTGTTAATGTATTGCATATTTCAGCCCTTATATTGCTGTCTGATGTCCCATTGTATGGATACTGTGTATCCATTCATCAGTTAATTGACATTTGGGTTATTTCCCCTTTGTGGCTGTTATGAATACAATGCTACTACGAACATTCATGTACTGAGGTCTTGTGTGAGCATGTTTTCAGTTCTCTTGGGTATGCACCTAGGAGTATTCCTGGGTCATAGGGTAACTCTATGTTTAACATTTTGGGGACCTGCCAGTCTCTTTTCCAAATCAGCTGCACCATTTTACATTCCTATCAGCAGTGTATGAAGGTTCCAATTTTGCTACATCCTTGCTAACATTTGGTACTTTCCCTTTAAAAAAAATAACCATCCTAATGGGTTTGAAATGGTATCACACATTGTGGTTAAGATTTGCATTTCCCTAGTGACTAATGAGTCTGAGCCAACCAATCAACATTTATCTAATTGTGTATTCTGCACTGTTGATTGAACAGAGCATTTTATTAATGAGGGTCAACTCCTGAAGGAAACTCACCTTACATATGAGCTGAGCTATAAAAGACTAGAGATCACCCCAGCTCAGTAGGTGCATTTTAAAGATGGAGGCAGGGAACACTAAAGAGGGTAAGCATCTTAGTCAATGGCAAAGCTAGGACAGAAACCAGGGTCTCTTGACAATTGGCCTCGCAGCCTTCTACCACACCATGCTACCCCACATTGGGGAAAAGAATTACTCAAGGCCCACACCCTTTTCGCTATAGGAGATACCAGCTACGGCGCATTGTGAATGTGGAGAAGCGGCAGGACCAGCTGCGTGGGGGTCGCTACCTCCTGGAGCTTGAGCTGGTGGAGCAAGGCCAGCGCCTGGTGCGGCTCTCTGAGTATGTGTCTGCGCGAGGCTGGCAGGGCATCGATCCGGCTGGCAGGGAAGAGGCTGAGGCCCAGAACCTGCAGGGCCTGGTTTGGGGACCACACAATCGTCGGAGACGTGTCTTGAGTGTCCAGGCCCCAGAGCCCAAGCTGTGTTGGCCCCAGGGCTTCTCCTGGGATCACCGCGCTGTGGTCCACTTCATCGTGCCTGGTGAGCCTCCTGCAGAGCAGGCACCCTATGAATAATCGTGGGCACCCAGGTCTCTGCTCACCAACTCAGATCTCACGGGAACTTGTAAGAACAGCCACTTTACAGTCGAGGGACTGAGGCTCACAAGAGGAAAGTCACTAGTCTATGTTTACATGGCCAGTTCACATGTAGTTGGGATCGCACTGACCTGAGGCTGTCACTCTTGCTGTGGCGCCAAGTTCCAGGGTTGGGTAACAATCTGCTAGGGTTGTGCTGGGTTTCTAACCAGTCTGGGGAAGTACAGCAGACCGATCTGAATAGAATGGGGTAGCTGCTTTTTATAACCAGAGATGGGACCATGTATCAGACAAGCAGTATGACAGTGGGGTAGGACAGGAAATAAAGGATGATGGTAAGATGGACAGATTACAGGGCTCTAGTGTTAGAGCATGGGGTCACTACAAGAGAGCTGATGGCTGGTCCCAGTTGAAGGCCTTCTTGGGGCGTAGAGGCCCAGTCAGGACAAGCTCGTCTTTGCCTTCTGTCTTTATGCTTCATAGTCACCAGTTTCCCACAGCTGCACTGCCCCGAGCAGAGGTGTGACAGGGCTCCAACTCATATAGGACCCGGGAGTGAGCATGCCCTTCTTTGTGTTACCTCTGCTCCTTTCTCTCTGCTTGCCCTACTTGGGCAGTGAAGAACCAGGCACGTTGGGTGCAGCAGTTCATCAGAGACATGGAAAAGCTGTTTCAAATCACTGGTGATGCACACTTCAACATCATCATCACTGACTACAGCAGTGAGGACATGGATGTCGAGATGGCCCTGAAAAGGTCCAAGCTGCAGAGGTGAGGAGGTTTCCTGGCCAGAGGGCAACCTGACCCTCTTTTTCCTGAAGTCTCAGGGCTGCTGTGTCCAGGGCAGAGCCAGGAGGCTCATCCAGCTTTGCTGATTCCCAGTCTGCCCACAGTCCCATGCCAGGAATGCATCGCCAGCACTGTGCGCCTGCTAACTTCCTTCAGGGGGCACCGCAGCCTCGTCCTGATGCTCAGCCCTTCTCCCCTCCCCTGCAGCTACCAGTACATGAAGCTAAGTGGAAACTTCGAGCGCTCTGCCGGACTTCAGGCTGGCATAGACCTAGTGAAGGTAAGTGGACTGGGGGTGCTTGAGGGATGTGACTAAGGATCGGGTAAGAGGTAGAGAGACATTTAGGGTGTGTGGGGTGGCCAGCTCCTCAGGGAGGAAGGAGTGAGGAGATGGGGGTTCTTTTTATTGTACTGCCAGGGCCGAACGAAACAAATGACAGAGGAGCATTTGTCCAAGTCGTTGGAGTCCACACAGAGTGGGGGAGGGGTCAGACTCAATTTCTCATTGCGAGAACTGTGCTCTGATGCCCCGTGTAGTGAAAATCTGCCCAGTACTTTGGTGGCAGTTTGTTAGTCATGCAAATGGAAAGAGCCAGGGAGAGCGGCTTGGTCTCCTAGCCCTGGTCAGAGGGTTGCCGATCCTTCCACGTGTGTCCCCAGGACCCGCACAGCATCGTCTTCCTCTGTGACCTCCACATCCACTTCCCAGCTGGGGTCATCGATACCATCCGGAAGCACTGCGTGGAGGGCAAGATGGCCTTCGCCCCCATGGTGATGCGGCTGCATTGCGGGGCCACCCCACAGTGGCCTGAGGGTGAGCCATGCCCTGAGCTGGGGAGGGAAGGAAAGCCTCCCCTAAGAACCTCTCCGGCCTTGGTTCTCAGTCCCGGAGCTGGAAACAGTTCTGCCACAGCAGAGTCATGCCGCGCGCCCCCCCCCCCCCCCCCCCCCCCCACGGCTTTACCTGGACAGTCCAGAGAAGTGGCCCAGGGGTGGTGCCGACAGCGCAGCCGCAGCTGCAGCAGCGGCGGTGAACGTTGCCCGTCCCATCTTCCCCTTCATTCTTTCATTGCGGTTATTACAATTTACTGTGTGCCAGACTCTATGCTCTGTGAGGACGCAAAGATGGAAAGACAGGGCCCCGGTCCCTGAGAGGCAAGGAGGGCGGCGCTCGGTTGTGTTCTAGTAGCTACTGTCCTGAGATACTACTGCAGGGCTATCCACAGCCCTTGGTCACTGCTTGGTAGGACTGCTGTTTTCACTGGACCCTGGACCTTAGTTCAAGGGGCTACCCCCAAAATAGGCAAGGAACTTGCCCAGATGAGACAGTTTTCAGCTGCAGGCACCGTATCCTATGTCTTTCAGAAAAGGCTCTAGGGCCGTCATCTGGAGGATGTCTTTATTCCTTTCTCTGGGCCCTGGCTCACCTTACCTGGAGCTTCTTGTCCACAGGCTACTGGGAGGTGAATGGATTTGGGCTACTTGGCATCTACAAGTCAGACCTGGCCAGGATTGGGGGCATGAACACCAAGGAGTTCCGAGACCGCTGGGGTGGGGAAGACTGGGAGCTGCTGGACAGGTGACTGGGAAAGGGGAGCGTCTGAGGGGTGTGCTGGGATTCTGCCCATCAGGCACTCCGGGGGGGGGGGGCACGGGGCAAGAGCATCCCAGACCCAGGCAAATTCCCCTAAAGCAGGTGAAGGCACTGGACTCAGAGGAAGCTCTGCCACTTACTGGGTTCCAATTACTTCCCTTGCTGAGACTCAGTTTCTCTCCCTGTTAAAAGGGGAGGACACTGCCTCTGTCTCTGTCATTGGGCTGGTGTGGAAAGTGCTTGGTAAACTGTCAGGGGAAAAGTAAAATGGATCTGTACAGATATAAGTGATGATGTTCTGAGCAGCAAGCAAGTCGCAGTGGGAGCATATGGCTTCATCATCCAGAACGAAGCTGCCAGGGGGAGGGAGGCTAAAGTTGTGGCATGGATAAAAGAGACAGGCTAAGGGGTCAGGAAAGACTTGGGGGACAGCAAAGGAGGTCGTGTGGACCATTAAAGAGCAACAAGCTGCCCGAGATGTTCTGGGTTCCCAGCAGCCTGGGAAGAAGGGAGTTTCAGGAAAGAGGAGAAGGATAGGGCCGGGAGCTGGCTGGGCCAGGACTTCACATTGTAGAGGGTCGTGGGACTTGTGGGTCATGAGGACGTGGAGGCTGTCTTAGTATGAGGTTCCTCTTTCAAGAAATTTGCTGTCAGGAGGAGGGGAGGGAAGAGGATGGTACTTTGAGAGTTGAGCCTGAGGGGCAGGGGCAAAGGAGAGAGGGCTGGGGGGGAATCCAAGAAAGAAAGGGTAGAATTGCTGGAACTGTGTCCAGGGGAGGGGGACAGGGGAAGGTAAGGAGCAGCAGGGCAGTGGGGACCTTGGCAAGGGAGAGAGACACTTCTTCCTGAGAGACAGGACAAACACAGCAGCCCATCACTGGACCTCTGTGCCGGTGGGTGGGTCACACCCACTCTCTCATTTGTTCCTCCCCAAACCTCCAAATGAGAAAAGTGAGTCTTGAGAAGTTAATAACTTGCCCCAAATCTCACAGCTAGTAAGTGTCAGAGGCTTAAAAACTGAATGTTTATATTTTCTCCTTAGAGGGAAGAAAGGAAAAGAAAATGACGAGACTAAGAGAATTTAAAGTGCAAAGGAAGGAGGCGGAGGGAGCTTATATGAGATTAGCCAGATCCAAGTAGATTCCCAAAGTGGACAGAAGCCAGGCCCAGTGTCACCTCCACCTGTGGTCTTCCTGCCTGGCTGGGAAGAGGCAGCCTATGGGTCAGTTCTCAACCTTCCTGCCTCTGCAGAGGGCAGGGGAGAAGGAAACTGCTTCAAATTCCAGTAACTTCCACCCTGCTCAAAGTACAGGCTTCTCTTGTATTTTATAAATCTAAGTGGGCTGCGCATGTGGAAAAAAGACAGCAAAGGGCTAGGGACGAGGTCTGCTTCAGCCCTCTGCCTCTGTCACACACTATGACATGTCCCCTGCTGGCTGCATGCCAGGAACTGTGCTGAGTGCCTACATCCATCATCTCATCGTTACCCCACCCTCCAGTGCATGGGTACCATTGTCACCCTCTTTCTAGAGATTAGCAAACTGCGGCTCTGAAAGGCGATGTACATAACTTACACAGTATGGAGCTGGGGTTGCGGCCCAGGCTGTCTGGCTCCAAAGCCCACACTCTTCACTGCATCTTGGTCCCGTGCCCTGTGGGGGGTGAGCAGGAAGACAGGGACAGGTCTGTTAGAGGTGTGGAGCCCAGTGGCCGCCCGTGCTTCTGCAGCTCATCCTGCCCCTCCCCTACTCAGGATCCTCCAAGCAGGACTGGAAGTGGAACGTCTCTCCCTCAGGAATTTCTTCCATCACTTCCATTCCAAGCGAGGCATGTGGAACCGCCGCCAGATGAAGATGCTGTAATCCTGAGCGGTGGCCCGCTGGACCAACAACTTCCTGCCCTTGACTTGCAGCTGCTCCCCCAACAGCCTGCTGACTGCTGGGGGGAGTGAGGAGGGAGCAGAAGCCGTGGCTGGGCCCAGAGAGGCCTCAGCACTAACACCCCCACTCCACAGGAGCTGCCCCCTTACATGGAACAGCTGCTAAAGCCCCCCCCCCCCGGGCCTCCAGAGGAAAGACTTGGGGAAGGGGGTCCAGGAGGAAACTCTCTCAGTCACAGGTGGAACAGCTCCTGGGCGGGCTGTGCTCATTGCCCGAGCAGTGACCAGGCATGGGAAGCTCTTTAGTTGGATATTTTTTTATTGATTTTTACTTTTAAATCAGAAAAGAAAAACTGTAACTGTCCAGGCCCAGCATGGATTGTGAGAGGGGGTGGAGTGGTGCCTCTCAGGAGCATCCCCACTTGCATACCTCAGACGCACTTGTGTGTAGAACTGTGTCCCTCAGCCCTGGACCCGGGGCTGATTTATAACCAAAGGAGCTGGCCCCTCTAGGAGCACTTCCTCTGCTCTACCCCAGGCTCATGCCTTCCAGGGACATGCACATCTCTCCCGCCAAACAGCTGCCCACCAACCAGGGCATTAACCTTACCCTCTGTGCAGCGCTGGCTTCAGACCCATCAGAGGCACAGAACTGGCATCGTCTTCCTTGTGCCACAGGGGGTTGGGAGACGAGGAAGCAGTGGGCAGTGGGCTCATCCTCATGTTTGGCATATAGGCCAAGCAGGACAGGCAAGGTGGAGGAGGCCAAGAGGAAGAGGATGTGGGTGTAAGAAAGTAAACCATGATTAGACGAGAGAAGGGGCCAGGGTCCAGCAGGAAGGGATTAAAAGGGAAGTGGAAAGCTTGAGTCCACTGAGCACAGTCCCTAGGGATTTGCCCTCCTGCAGGGAGTGCCCCAGCTGTGGCCTTGAGTGGAAGAAGAGGAAGGGGTGGGTAAAAACAAACCATAAAACTGGGACCAGGGTAGTAAGCGGCAGGGTGACAGGTCTGGGGAGGTGAGGACATGGTTCTGAGATCTCTTCCCCAAGTGGAAGACAGCGGGGGCCAGGAGGAGCTGAAAAGTGGAGCTAGTTCAGGGAAAATAGCCCTTGGCCTTTGTAGGCCACCCTTTCTGTCACCTGATGATCACACACTTGTCTTGCACTAATGATCCCCAGGTGTCTTTGCACCTGGGCATTTTTCTACTGCTGCTGCTGCCTCTGCCGCTGCTGCTGAATTCACCAATGGTGCATTGGACACTGGATCCTGGACTCCAGTGGCTGTTTAGGAAGGCAAACACAGGGCTCCCTGCTGTGAGGAAGGGAGGCCAGTCTCAGCGGGCCCAGCTCCACACTGAGTCTGAGGCACAGCATTTGGAGAGCCCACCCCATAGGCTATGTAGTTACCCAGAGCATGGACTTGGCATGGAGAAGAATGAGCCTATTGAGAACTCTTGAGCTCGAAGAGAATCCTTGCCTCTGTCAGAAATCAGGAAGGACAAGGAGTTCTCAGTGACCCAGTGGCTTATAGATGCCTCTATCTGCCTCTGGGGCTGTGGCTCTATAGGGTCCCTGCTCCAGTTTACTTACTGCCTTTGGGAAAGAAAGGTCTGTGGGGAGTAGGCTAGAGCTGCAGTTGGCCAGCTGGGGTGCTAAGTTTCTTTTGGGGCCACTCTTCATAGTTGTGTATTCACAGGGAGGCCTGAGCCCACCCAAACAGCCCTCCTGCTTTACTTCTCCAGACAAGAGGAGCCAGCCCAGTGTCTCCGGCCCTGCCCACCACCCCCTCTGCCCTTGGCCAGTGCCTTGTGTGTGTGATGTTTGTTACCTCCACACCATCTGCCTTAAGAGGGAGGACCTGGCAAGGGCTCCTACCCTGTAGGGAAATTTCTAGGGTGGGGGAGGGATGGGGATGCTGGGAGGGAAAGCATTAAATACAGCATCTTTGTAGAAAACAGAATGGCTCTTGTTTTCCTGTTGCCCATCATGGTAGTAGAGGTTTGGGCTGAGGACCCCAGCATTCACTTTCCTGTCCTTCGGCCTTTCTGAAGGATGTGCTGAGGACCATTTCACAACACCCTCCACTCTTTCCCGTTAGTTGGTGCTGGCTGTGTGGCAGACAGCGCCCCCTCCCCACGCTGTTCCTGCATGAGGATCTCGCAGTCAGGGTTAGACCGCACATTTTCTGTTCGGCAGATCAGTGGAGACTGTGGTTTTAGTGGAGCAAGTGTGGTGGACACCCTGGGTGAACACAGCTGGAAATGGGGCCAGAAATGGTTTTGGTGAGCAGTGGAGAGGAGCTGAGGTATGGCTTGTTCTAAAAAAGCAGATGGCCTAAAACTCCTTTCTGCTTAAGCTGAGGACATCCTGCTGATGCTTTACAGGTGCAGATTGACCTCCCTGGTTATATTTGGCATGGGCATAAATAAAAATTTATTTCTATTCCTTAAACACGTGACCCCCAGAAGGAGCTAATATGAAAGCTAGAGTAGGTTTATAGTGGGTGTTGAAAAGGAGTGTGCATATATGCACTGTTCTAGAATTGACTAGTAATTAGCTCAAGGTGCATGGCACATGGAAAGTTGACTTGAAGTACAACTCAGAGGAGAGCGGGTGATTAAAAACTTTCTCTCCATCCAGGCTTAGAGTTTCCTCCTTCAAACCCTTTCAAGGACACATATGGAGATGGCAGCTCAGACTCAACTAAAGACATAAAAATTGACTTCAGTGGATTTGCAGAAACTTTTATAGATAGAAATCATCCCATCTTACCTGGGAATGGATGGGGCAAAGGGAAAGAATGGAGTAGTCAGAACAGGAGTCCTGAAGCTGGTGGGACTGGCCTTAGGCAGACTGCCTCAGAGGCAGGTGCCACGGGAGGCAGGGTTGGCACTGCCCCTGTCTGAGCTCAAGGCTCTAGACCAAGATGCAATTCACTTAGACCAGTGTAATGGCCCCTCTTCATTGAGGTGCTGTGTGGGTAGCAAGCAAGCATCTACACTGCCTTTTCAGGCGCTACTGGGAGCTGTGGAAAGTGCTTGTTAGCCTGGTGGATCAGGGAGGAAGCAGCAGAAGCAACTCCAGGCCCAGTACCTGTGGGGGACACAGAGAAGAGGTGGTGAGGATGGTGTTCTCAGACTCCATCGAGCCCTTGATTATTCCCCTGGCAGCCTTCAAGATGCACATGCTGACTCAGTAGATCTGGAGTGGGCCTGTGAGTCTGCATATCCAGCAAGCTCCCAGATGCTTTTGCTGCTGTTGGTTCATGGGCCACAAGAAGAAATCTCAACTCTCCATTTTGCCTCTTACTGGAGTGGCAGAGCCAACCACTAAACCACACTGCCTCCCGCCCCTCTCGGGCTATGGAAACACCTGAGCCTATAACCTGAAGGAGAAGCACCATTAACAGCGAGGAGGGCCTTTCCAAGTCCCCATCCAGCTCTTCTCCAAGACTCCCTTTTTGCCCCAGATCTGCCTTACCTTTTGCTTGGCAAGTATTTCTTACCCCAAATCCTCAGAGGTGAGAAAAAGCTTTGGGCCCAAGAGCCTCCCGTCATCCCCCACCTGGGTCCCATCTGAGTTCAGAGAGGATCCCTTGAGCTTCTGACAGCCAGGAATCCTGTCTTATGTGCCCCAAAGGCTGTAATGAAGATGTTGATGACAACAGTGATGAAGACCAAACTGGTGGCAGCATTGTTGAGCTGCTTTAGTCACCACTGCTTTTCTACTTCATTGAGGTTCAGCCGTGCTATGGAGAAATGGGGATGAGAGGTAAAAGTCAGGGTGGGGGCCACAGCCTGGAGCTTCCCTTATAACACCCACTAGAGTTCAGAAAAAGTCCAGCGGCTCCAAGATCCATGCAACAGAAGTCTAGGGAGGTGGTGTCACTGCACTCAATGGCTCTTCCCTCCCTGACCAATGTGATGGTGTCCATGTGGTGCCTCGCAGAGTTGGGGTTTGGGAAGCTGCAGTGGGTCTTCTAAGAGTAGGGATGGACTCACACAGAGGGTAATGTGGAACTTGGCTATGAGTTAGTGGGGACTGTTGTTCAGCAGGTATTGTGGAGTGGCCACCATAGGGAATACCAAGATGTAGAGCAGGTTGCTTTTCATCCATCCCTATCCATCCCAAGGTGGTACTTGGGCATTTGTAGGTACAGAGGGCTAACACCAGGTTAGTGCATGGCTGAGAGACACAGGGGCTCAGCTTCCCACTAGGGGGCACCGAAGCCAACTCTAGGCCTGGGCTCACCCATGGCCACCAGGAGGATTCCAATGACGACCTGCAAGAGCAGAGAGATGCTGATGAGGGTGATGAGGGTAACATAGTATTGAGAGGATGGCCCCTGCTCCAGCACCATCTTCAGCCGCATGACATTGGACATGAAGAGAGCCACATCCAGCATGCTCTCTGCCATGCTCTTCTTGGTGGTGTAATGGTTCAGGTTGATGGGTTGGCTCCTGCTTGGGTTGGGGTTCCCAGGCTGTAAGGGAGAAAGCACAGGCTTACCTGGGAGGCTCAAGAGGGAAGCAGTTGAGGGACTAGAAAGAAGAGTGAGGTTTTAAAACTCTCCTCCGACTGGCTGAGGGCAGGTGACACTGCCCTCAGTTTTATGGCCTGAAAGAACTCTGGAATAATGTCATGTAATACAGGTTTCACAGTGGGTAGGGTCACCCTTCCCTTGCACCTTCACACATCCAGCTGAAGAAAGCCTGGAGGAGTCTCAGCCACTTATAAAATGTACGTTATTTGTTTCACAGGGGCCAGACCTGGCCTAGGGCCACTGTTTTCTTCTGAGAGGAGAACCTATCAGAAGACAATAGCAGAAGGCTTAGGTGGAATAGAAAAGGCACTTCCCTCCCAGAACAACGCCTTCTGAGGCAGGACGCACAGTTTAGTGAGTGGGAATGGATTAGGAGCTGAGGAAACAGCCCCTCCTCAGCCTCTCAGCCCCTCAGCCCTAACCATAGCCCAGCTCATGCTCACCTGCGGTCAAACAGGCCCAGGTGCAGACACACATCTGGATGCACACACACACACACGTGTGTGTGTGTGTGTGTGTGTGTGTGTGTGTGTGTGTGTGTGTGTGTGTGTGTGAAAAGCTCTGAATTTGTTTTTTATTTTCTGGTTAGGATTTATTGGCATGAAGTCACTCCAGAAGAGGGAGTCACAATACAGGGTATGTGGGTCGGAGCTCAGGGTGAGCCAAGTTCAGACTGGGTGCTGCAGGCAATGTGCAGCCAGCCACTCAAGAGAACTTGGGTACATTTTTGGGAGGTTAATGCAGAAGTGCTGCTTGGGTTGATTGGCCAGGGAGAGCCCAGAGGCAGGAGACCTGTCAAAAGGTATGGTATTGATTCAGGGTCAGGGTGACAGGAAACTGAACCAGAGTGCAGGAAGGAAGAGGAAGGACCTTGGGAAATGTCACAGCCTATGGTTGGGGAACTACCTGAGCAGATGCCCGCAACGGGGGTACTGGGTGGGTGGGTAGGTACCTTTCAGAGAGTTTTGGATGCTCCTCAATGCCAGACTTGTTCAGGACCAGCTGGCCTGGGTGCCAAGGCCATTAGCCCATAAAGACCCCAAGGCTACAGCCTGTGCCCCTTGCCCATTTGGCAATGGTTTATCCTGGGTTCCAAGGACATACTAAGTGACAGTTTATGGAGTGGCCCCAGGTCTCTCCACAACTCAAAGTGCTTCTGCCTCGGAAGCACTCCCCCGCCAAAGGGCCTCCCCCGCCGCCTGTGCCCACTCCTCTCCCTGTTCCACCCTCCAGTTTGCACTACAAGATCTGCACCTTTTCTGCCAAACCCAGCTCTCAGTTCAAAATCAGATAAATTGTAAAATTACTATGAAAGCTTCAAGGAATAAAATCCCTTTTCTGAAAATTTGTATGTCAACAATGGACATAACCTTAAACCCAAATAGTGTATGAGGTAGTAGGTACTTGGGGGACACAGAGATGTCCCCAAGCCTCAACGAAAAATACCGCTATTTGTAAGTTTTATTAGAACTTTTAGGATTCTGTTGTTAAATTGGTCTTAGAGCCTCATCCTTTCCTCTCTAATTTAGGGCCTGCTTTCACTTTCATTTGTACTAGCTCAGGGTTGCTTCACAACTGAGGATGCTTTTTCAGAGTCCCCAACTTGCTGGTGGGAGGCTCTGCAGGAGCCCCCCACTCCCTCCCCCACCACCACCACACTGCCAAGTCTCCTGAGGCACCAATCCTCCAGAGTGTCCACATGGTGGGGCATGCATCCAGAGAAGTGACAGGCACTTCGGCTGCCCTGGAGTGGCAGGATGTTTCTCCCCTGAATTCATGGACAGGCCAGGCTTGGTGTGAAACCTGGACCCCTTGGAGGCCCAGGACAGGGAGCCTGGTTCACAAATCTAGAAAGGCCAACCTAAATGGAAGGTCAAGGATAAACCAGTGCTGAGATTGGGCCAGGACTGAGTGGGGAACTGGCATAAACTGCCGCAAGTGGGATTGTGGTTAGAAGGGATCTGATTGTGAGACCCTGGAAAAAGTTGCTTTGAAAGGGAAGGAAACAGTTTTCATAATCCTTCTAGGCCAGTTTAGGTATAGCCCTACCCTGAGGCAGAGGGCTTGCTGAGATGACCTGAGGGTCCTCCCTTATAGCCTGAGGACTCAATGGGATGAACCCCCAAATCCCATAGGGTGTCACCCTTCTTACCCCACTACCCAGGAAAGAGGAGCAACCCAATAAGAAGTCTGGAGAGGACGGTGGAGGTGGTGTGGAGGTGGTGTGGAGGTGGCAGGTCGGATGATGGGCAGGGCTCCCACCAAGTCCCACCTTCTCTGCTGCCTCTAGGAGCTGGCCCTTTAAGGCTGGGCCTAGATGGCTGGGAACAAAGACGCCGGAATGTGGGCTGGGTAGGCCTTCAGAGCCACCCAGTGTGAGTCACTAGTATTTCACCGGACTCTGAATCTGCCTTGCCTCCTCCCTCCCACAGCCCCCAGCCCCCTCCCAGGGCTGAGGGGCAGCTCTGGAGGTGCCTGAGGCCTGCCTGCCTGCAGGGCCCCTCTGCTAGACCTTGTGGGGCCTCCCCTCCCTTCAAGCCCACCTACCCTGCCCTAGTTCCTGGCCCTTTTCCTCTGGTTCCTCAGAGTAGGGGCTGGAGGGAAGAGGACTCCCAGCTTCTGGGCCCACCTTTGCCTCTGGGCTTTGCACTTTGGGGTTCAGTTTCCACATCTACAAAATAGGAGAATCTCATCTCTGGATGGTTGGAGGCTGTAGAGAGACTGCATGAGACTTTGTTCTTCCCCAGAAGGGAAGACAGCCCTTCTTCTGTTTTTCCTAGTTTGAGGTCTGTCTCTCAATGACCCTCTGTCTCTCACGCATTCCATTGGCCCTTCCTCCCCTCACCCCCCACTTTTACTGCAGGACAGCAGAAGGCGGTGCCAAAGACTCCTGCCTCCCGATTGCAAACACCCCTGCAAAAGCCAGCCTTTTCAAATCCTGACAGTGAATCACACCTGAACAAAAGGGGGAATTTTGGTTGACTTGAGGTTGGAGCAGGGGCTGGTGTGGGGTAGATGGGAGAAGGTCCAGAGTTCCCTCCTGGAGCAAATGGAGGGTTGGGGTAACATGAGGACTTGGGTCTGGTGATCGGAGTGGGGTGATGCCAGGTTGAGGAAATGACAGACACCCCACAGCAGTTTCCCAGTTTGACTCCCAGGCACTTGCCAGCACTGCCATTTCCCTCCCTCTTCCTCATCCTTCCCTCAGGTTCCAGCTCAGACTTCCCTGGGGAAGGTGCTCCCACCAAGTCCCAGCTCCCCAGGCTGGTGTGGATTCCAGCTCTCAAAGTCAAGGACTGCTCCCTTGTTCTGCCAGACAATTCTTTATCCCTTAATACTTGTTGGACTATACTATATTTGTTTCTTTACAAAACTTGTTGGATAGGAAAGGAATGCCTCTCTTGACAAAGTAAACACATTTTTACATTGTTTATTGACATTATGGTCAATGCGGACAAGTTCCAAGATATCACTATGGGTTTCTTGGAAACAAGATTTCAGAGGGCCCTGGAAACCACTGCTTGGAGGGTTTAGACCCTGGAGCTGTGGCCACAGTGAGTGCATGCCCTGTGGGGAAGAAGCCGAGGGGAAGAAGGGGTCTGTGGCAGCACAGAAGGCACCCTGAACTCCGGTTTGAATCCTGGTCCTGCTACAGGTGAGATGCAGGAGCAAGCCGGATCCCGTCACTGCACTCCTTTATCTCTGAGTCAGGTGGGGTTGGAATAAGTGATTCCCTAGGTCTCTTCTAACAGAGGGTGTTGTAGGGGAGGGAAGCTCCCTGCTCTGAGTGGAGAATTATCAGGGGCCAAGAATATTTCCCTGAGAGAGACAAAGGTCAAACAGCTGTAGAGCCAGGCCCAGGAGCAGGTCTAGTGAGTCACTTTGTCCCAGGGCATTGGTAACCCTCTGATGAGTCATTCTTGTCAGCCCTGAGAAAAGCCACATGGCAGTCGCCTTTTGTATCACTTCAAACTCAGGGCTACAGACACAATAAGCTCAGAGGGGCAATGGTATGTGGCCCCTTCCATTGGTCTCGACATGACTGACCGTCCAGAAAAGCCAGGTCTCGCCTGAAAAGGAGGTGGCAGTGAGCCCGGCCTTTGGGATGCTGGTTTCCCATAAAAAGGAGGGGCAGATCCCTGCCCAGGAAGAGTACAATGCCAAGTTGCTTTTAATTAGGTGCCTGACATCTCTAATCCTCTGTCAGAATGAATTTTGAGAGGGTACCTGGGTCTGTCGTGCTGTGTACACAGGCAGGAGGTTCTTAGTACACTGGAATGAAAGTTACCACTTACAGAGTGTGTACCATGTGCCTGGCACAGAGTCAAACTCGGGACACGTGCTATCTTACCCAGCTCTCAACAGCCCCTTGAACCTGGTGAGGACAGGACAATCACAGTTGCAAAAGCAGAGGCTCAGAGAGCCTGAATAACTGGCCCAAGTTCACACAGCAAAGTTCTTATCCCTGTGTTCTGTGTGCCAGAGCCTGTAATTTTAACCCCTACTCTGCTACTGCCCAGAAATTGAAGAAATACTCCCTGGCTCCTAGGAGTTTAGGATCTAAGATGACAGTTAAGTTTAGGATCTAAAGTTTAGGAGTTTAGGATCTAAGGAGACAGTTAAATAGCCCCATAAGGGTACATATTTACACTTGCTAAGAGGAAGTATAGCACCTTTACCTGAGTGGCACTTGTGTTAGGCTTTCCTGAATTTACAGGGGGTGGGGGTGGGGGTGGGAAGGGCCATGTCCTTGAGCCCCTGCACTGTGTGGCATAAAGTACCTAGTCAGAAGGCTTGGGTTCAAACTGCTAGGAGGTAACTTGGGAGAACAGAGTTGAGACAAGAGAGACTTTTATCTGTACCTTTTGAACTTTGAAGTGTATGAATATTTGAACTATACAAAAAGAATATATATTTAAAACAAAAACAAATATGCAACC